AAAATGCTACATATATCGATGGTTTTGCATCTTATGTATTTTATTTTCTGATTTTTGTTGTGTTTTATTGTGTTTACTATATTGATGGGCATGGCCTCATGTAAGCCGCCCCAAATCCCCTTGGGGGAGATGGAGGCGGGGTATAAATAAAGTTGTTGTTATTATATTGATATTGATATTGAAATCTCCACAATAGTTTATTAAGAATACTCCAATATCATCCCCAACACTCCCTTGGCTATCTCAAGAATGTAGGCTAGCAAGACTTTGGAAAAAAAATAATTGCATCAAATTAATGAGCAGCTCTACAATGGAAAATGTTACTTTCAGAGGTCAATTTTGTTGGAATTCAACCCCACACTAGCCAAGTCTCAAGTCCTCAACAAGGAGCAGTTAGTTTAGAATAAGGTTTCCCTTCCTTCATGCCTCCTGTATGACAGTTGGAACGTATCTAATTTCTTCTCTCCTCTCCATTTCTGCTTTCATTCTGATAGGATACTTTTCTACTGCTAGCCTTTACTTCAGCTTGTTACATATTAATATGCTTTGAGATCTCTCCGCTTGTGTGTCAGAAGAGATGCATATTAGAGTAGCTCAGACCCAGTTCTTTACTATGAAGAAATGAAGTTATTTTTTCTATTGGAAATGAACCTTTTGTGATTTTTAAAGACAGAGCTCTACATCTTTGCATGGCCTAAACTCTAAATTCTTTACAGCCGCATCACACGGTATTTCATGCTCTGCATGCTGTGAGCTGATGCTCAACTTCTAGTATCCTGTTTATATTTTTGGATGCTCTGCTTTATTTTGGGTAGTTTTCCCTAACAAATTTTAAGCAATTCATATTCTATCATACACTTGGGAGGAGGAAAAAAGAAAACAACACAGAATATAAAAGCCTCCTAAATTGTGAAAAAGACTCCAAATGCACAGTCACAATCCAGTGAATAAAATCAGTAAATTTGACTCCAAACATTACCCAGAACAAAACAGCAATGTCTTGACTGATGAACCAAACACTTCTGGGAAGCTTTTAAAGACCAATACGGCTACCCCTGAATATGTTTCCAAACATTGCATAGACAAGCTATTGGTATCTTAATTCTCAAGAAACATTACTGTTTCATCAGAATAACGATACTACTAAAGCCATTGTGTTAGACTGAGCAAAACATTCGTAAAAATAAGTAAGTATGGCTGAATTGAAACAAAAACAATACTATTTAAGGCTGCTATTCTTATCATATCAAGACCAGATCAAAAACCTTGATGGTTGCAATGGGGAAATCTAATTTGGGAAGAGTGTGAAAGACAGTGGAAAAGCCTAAGGACAGAGAAGAAGTGTCTACTTGGAAATTAGCCCCACTGTAACCATTTCCAGTCTTCAAAGAATAATTTGGTTCTAAGCAGCCATTTTCAGGCCTGGAAAGCCCAACTCATTTATGTGCAGGGCGTTCAAAGTTAAATGGTCTTCAGAAATAACAGCAAAACAATCCTGCAAGCTGGATGGGAAGACCCTGTTCTGATATACCTGAGATTATACAAACAAGTCACACATACATATAAATATAAGATTTTAAAATCATATTTCTGTAAGAGCTGTGGGCATGAAAGAGTCATAGCCAAAAGGATTAAGTTGTAAATTTAGATAAAGTCTATGAAAACAAAGAATCATAATGTCCCAATATAAGAAACAGTACAATAGATGTATTTAATGAGTGTCTTTCCAATGATGCAGAAGTTTACTGTATAGTCAAAGTAATTCCTGACAACACAAAAGGTTTACAGCACATATAAACATGACAGAGCATTCAAGAACATCACATCTAAATATTATTGGCCAAGCAACATGTTTTGAACTGACCATTTGGTATTCTGAAGACAAATGAGGCAAGAAAACATCCCTTTTTATATAATTAAGAGGAAAATGGCAAACATTCTTGAACTACTAGGATGAAATCAATCAAATGCATTCATAATAGTTTTTTGTTTGAAGTCCCCTCATAATGGGGTAGGGTGTTAAGGGTCCCAGGAAAAAAACACACATTTATCTGCAATGAAATGAAACAGCTACAGGAAAATTCATAATAGTTTGACAGTATTTTCTAAAAGTTGTTTTGATACACAAATAAATCTTCCATTTGACACTGAGGATTTAATCTACCTTTTGTACTATAAGGGAGTAAAACATGTTACTCACTGCCACTTGTGCTGAATCCATAAATCGTAGTCCAAAGTAGTCATTTTCTATGAGGTCCAGATGGTACATGATCTGTTCAAACAGATGCTGTCCTTTGGCCTTTTTCTGAAATTACAAGAGGAATGTGTGTTAGGAAGAAGAAGATTAGTTGATGATTAACTTTATTTTTGAGGCCACTTCTACGTGCACTCTGTTGAGAAATGTTAACCACAGAGAAATACAGATCCCCATCTCAGAGAGACTTGTTTTCCAGATCCCAACTTTGTTTACTAAAAGCTGAACAAAGCAAGGCATATTTATGTGTTTCAATACTCACTTCAGCAACTGAAGTTGGACTTAAACTTAGTGGCCTTCAGACCTGCAACATGCCACACTCAATGCAAATTTACTCCCAAATTTTCAGTAAGGACAGCGTACTATTTATTTACTACTAGGCTGGAAAACAGCACTAACAGAAAAGGCTGTCAAAGGTGTAAAAATTCCCAAACATTTTAAACTCTGCTTTTAGTTTTCAGTCACAACAACCCTTCCAATGTTATACCACTGGTTTTAGTGTTTTTGTATCTGCTTGGTCATATCTTGATCTTATTATGTAGAGTTGCTTGTCATTATTTATGGTATCTACTATTTGTAATGCTTATACTTTTTATGCCAAGTTTTAAAAATATAAAGGCAGAAAATATGACCAGATAACAGTAAGGAATCAATAGCACCAGAATTTGGCTGCCTTCAGCCTCCGAGGGCCCTTTCCAACAGACGCTATATCCTAGGATCTGATCCCAGATGTTTTTGTTTATCCCAGATTATCTGGCAGTGAACTCATATAATCCAGTTTAAAGCAGAAAACCTGGGATCATATCCTGGAATAAAGGGCCTGTCTGGAAAGGTCCCTTAAAAGGGAGACAATGAAATCTTATATCAATAGCAATATCATCAAATGCCATCTCTATGCCTCACAGTTTGATAACAAAGCAAGAAGTTGTGATTTTTTGGATACTCCGAAAACTCTCCAAGTAAGCAAAAATACATTAGTTTGTAAATCAAAAGTACTCCAAAATATCCATCACAATAAGGATTTGACATTCATCTTGACCTCTGTGAGGCATGGTAAACATAAACAGATAAATAGATGTGACTGAGGTTCTAACACTTAAAATAGTATCCTAGATGGATTTGTGTCAAGAGATGCACAAGTTTGCACAATTCCACAAGCCCTTCATAGAGACAGATGTCTGTCTTCATTCTTCTAGCACAGTGGTGCTCAGCCTGTGGGTCCCCAGATGTTTTGGCCTTCAACTCCCAGAAATCCTAACAGCTGGTAAACTGGCTGGGATTTCTGGGAGTTGTAGGCCAAAACACCTGGGGACCCACAGATTGTGAACCACTGCTCTACTACTTTTGAGATTAATTAATTTATTTCTGCATAAGCTTTCATGGATGACAGCCCACTTGGGCTTATACATAAATGGCATGGTCTTAAAGGTGCCATAACTTTCCTTTATCCAAAAAGACTGCAGTGCATGATAGGAAAAACCTTTGATGCCCTTGATCCTTCTGAATTAATTCAGTCTGAAGGAGTTGAATTTATTGTGGAAAATGTTTCTTCCAATCCTAATTAATCATACCCAGAATGCTTTCAACTTAAAAGAAACATCATCCCAAATAATCTAAAGTAAAACAGTATTGGAGGATATGGACAGTGAAGGATCTTTTCACGCCAATCCCCAGAGAACAAAGAGAGATACAAATATCCCCTCCCCTCCACGCCTCCCTTCTTCACCTAGTGCCAAATCACAGACGTTATCACTACTGAACTAGATTGCAAAGGTTGGGTGAACGAGAATGTTTTCTCACAAAATTCAGCACCCTGACACTCTTGTATCAAGCAGAGAGCTTCTTTTATTGTTTACTCCTCTTGAAATCCACACAGGTCTTTAGTGCTGTAATATCATTGGCTGAAACCAAACCTACTAAGATGCTTTGGGTCATTAAAAGGTGCTTTCCTTACCCATTTCAGAACTTATTAGAATGAAAAGCAGTCTGTAGTCCAGGAAGTACCTAAGAATCTTTTTATTTTTAAATTAAGCCAATCAACATCACAAAACCTTAGATTTCACTTTTAACCATGAATGTCCATTAGAACTGTTAAGCAGAACCATGAATAACAAACAGGTTTCCTAGTACCGTATATTAACATAAACTCTCAGAAACTTTGTACACACAAAAGTCAAATAGGTATGAAAGAGGAAACCTGGAAGTGTTGATCTACGATCATTACTGTTTGTAAGTCTTGACCATAGTCAATTTTTCTAACTGTATTATTCATCGGAATGCACACAATAATCAAATCCTTTATGGAAAGCCAGCAAACACGTCTATAAGTGTAGATATTTCAGGATATTTACCCAATTGTTTATTGCAATGAAATTAAGAAGTGCATGTTGTCATAACTTCCTTATTAATAATATCTTGCCACAAAGTTTGAAACTTCCAACAAAATTAAGGCATAGAAAAGTCTATGAATCATCAAGGAGGCTGGGGAGGCCCTGTTCTCGGTCCTACTTGCTTTGCATGTGCAGTTGGTGGGGACAAGAGACAGGGCTTTCTCAGTGGTGGCTCCTTGGCTCTGAAACTCTCTCACCAGTGAAATTAGATCTGCACCCTCCCTCCTGGCCTTTAGAAAAAGCACAAAGACATGGTTATGGAACTAAGCTTTTGACTACTAAAATAATGCAGTACAAGAAGCAAATATGGAATATGTACAATCGACGTTTAGAATGGCCTGATCTACGAGATGGATAATGTGATTTTAATGCTTTTACTAGGTGTTTTAATTCTTATAATACATGTTTTAAATGTCCTTTTATCTTATCATATGGTGAATTGTCCTATTGATTTTATGCCTAGTTATATTTTGTTGATTTGAGTTTTGGTTTATGTATGTAAAGCATTGAATTTTGCCATTATTTTTTGTGTAAACCACCTTGAGTCCACCCAGGGGTGAAAAAAGCGATATATAAATACTGTAAATAAATAAATGCACAGTGGTTGAAGTATCACTGGCAAACAGCCAGATTTTTTTAATACAGACATCAGGTTCATAATGCAACATGGAAACTGACAGATGGGATCCAAAGTTGTAACTGATATTTCCCCAAATAGTTTAATGTTGTACACTTAAGTTTTATAACACAAAACCCCGTGATTGTGTCATTCACACATATCATAACCAGTGAGAGTTTTTTTCCCACTCAATGTTCAGCAATTACAGTAAGCTTCTCTACCAATCCCTTCAATATGAGAAATACTACTCTGCATCATTCTGGCCTTTGCAATGACTTATGGAAGAATCCTAAAAGGGTCAATGACTAATCTTGCCTGAAATTTGATCTTTACCTAGGCAATTCGCCTTCTAGTCTCAAAACAAAAACAAAAATCTAGTTTTGGCCAAAAATCAAAAACATTAGACTTTTGAGGACTCTCATTATGAAAAACTCCTAAAATCCCAAAACATCACATTCTTAAAACAAGAGTATTCACTTTTTAAAAACGGCAGCGGCTATTGAATACTAAAATCCCAAGTGTGCCCACACACAGAGCACATCACTCTTGGAAAAGTGCCCTCCTTGGGCACAGGAAAAATGTGAACGAATGTTACAATGCCATGGGAAATAATGAATGCCCCCAAGCATTCATTTTCAGTTACTAGCACTTTTCACCATGGGACCCCACAACTCCCACCCTGCCTTTTTCCCATGCCCACCATCTCAGAGAGGTTACAGAGCAAAAAGGCACATCAAGTACAGCAAAATAAAATATGTTTGAAACCAGAGGAACAAACATGATTGGAATTACGATATTAAGAACAGGGTTTTGTTTTCACCTCAAAAGCCAGAGAAAGCAGGCAATGATCACAAACGGGTTCTGCAGTACAGGCTCCCCTTTGTCTTCGAGACAGGAGAGATGTGGTCATTCATCTCAAGTGAAATGAGTTTAGCAGGGTATTTTAAGAAATGCATAAAGTGTTAAAATCTTTAAAAACTGATGACTATTCATTGTGTTATTGTAATAACCTGGAGAAAGTATTGGGCATTTTCCCCCTAAATATTAGTAGTCATTTTTAAATGCCTTTATCACCCTTGGTAAAAAATGAGTATAATCAAATAACTTGGCCAACTTCCATGATTATGCAATATCATCAGTGGTTCGAACAGCTATGAAATTAAATGAAAGAAGGGAGTTACAGAGCATCATACCTGTTTGAGAGTAGTGATACTAAAGAGGAATTACGGAATACATCTGTTCCATTCTTTGTTATATCAGCAAATATTCAGTACTAGAGAATTATAAATTCCCTGCCTAAAGCAACCAAATCTCTGGATCAGATACCCACTAGAGCAGGCATGGGCAAACTTCAGTCCTCCAGGTGTTTTGGACTTCAACTCCCATAATTCATAACAGCCAGTAGTACTGAAGTTTGCCCATGCCTGTACTAGATTAAGAGAATTAAATAAAAGGTAGATATGAATTTGCCAGGAACTCTTTTTGTGACCGATAGTAGTTACATCAGCAAACATTTTAAAGCACACACTGTCCTAAACTTTCCCTGTTGACATAAATTTATTTATTTATTTACTATGTTCACTCCCTGCCTTTCTCACCTGAAGGAGGACTCAGAGCTGCTTACAAACTCCGGCAAATATTCAATGACATGTTGTACACATAACAATAAACATATCGTATTAACTTATAAAACAGTTACAACATATAAATACAGGAATACAGATTAAAAACATACAAAGTGCCGAGTCAGGATTTCCATACTTTTTGGTTTTCCCATAATCATTACTCAGACTGCTAGGTTAAGGTCGAATTCCGTGTTACCCTACTCCCTAAACGCCTGCGTACGAAGCCAGGTCTTTAGCTTTTTTCTGAAGGTCAGGAGTGATGGGACCAGTCTACTATCACTGGGGAGGGAGTTCCACAGCCGAGGGGCCACCACAGAGAAGGCCCTCTCTCTCGTCCCCACCAATCGCACTTGCAAAGGGGGTAGGACCGAGAGCAGGGCCTACCCAGCAGATCTTAAAGCTCTAGTTGGCTCATAAAGGGAGATATGTTTGGAAAGGTAAGTTGGACCAAAACCATTTAGGGCTTTATAGTTCAAAGCCAGCACTTTGAATTGAGCCCGGTAGCAAACTGGCAACCAGTGGAGCTGACGTTAACGGGGGGGGGGGGGGGGGGGGGGGTGTATACTCCCTGTGTGTTGCATTTAGGCATTTTAATAACTCCTAAAAAGGTTCTGACTGGAAAGTTATTTTGGTGCATACCCTTGGAAAGGTTTGTATGAGAGAGGAACTCTGATCTGTAAGCCAAAAAATTGCCGCAGTACGGGACTAAACTATGGTATACCGCCCAGGGTGCTATTCCACCGGGTTTATTCATGAAGAGATATGTGCAGAACTAAACTGCGTATTGCATGCTCTCTGGGAAAATGTCCAGACTGGAAAGATTTATAATTCTACTCCTTTGTTTCAGATCAACTCTATGGCTTTAGCTCTACCTAATGGTGAAATACTTGCTGGCTTTAGAACTTTCCAAAATTGGAATTTAGTCCCTGGACCAAAAGAGTAGTCTCCTTGTTCTAAGGAAGGAATCATTTCAGTTATGATACTTCAAAATTGAGATCATTTAATGACAATATAATTTAAAGGGAAACACAGAAATAACTTTTTAACAGAAGGATAATCACATACTGAGTTATAAACTACGTAGAGACATTTCAACCATCTATGCTGAGGGCTTATAAGGCTTCTGAACAAAATGAGAAAATACAAAGCGGTCTTATCAGTCTGCTACACACTAGTAAAAGGAATTATCTTTAGTGCTTCATCCAATGCACGAGATGTACACTCTTTCTTCACAATGTTGCTGTCAAACTTTATTGTAATTAGATATACAATGCTCGGGTATCTTTATTTGAATTTGTTGATATGATGACCATTTTCATATCACATTAACCCTCAATTTTTTGTTTCTAGTTCTCAAAAACTAAGACATTGTGCTCTCTGAACTTTGATATCCACATTCTATCCTAAACTGCAATTCTGAAATCCAGCCATGCAAAAATTAAAGATTAACCCAAAATGTAGCATTGCAGTTTCTCAAGTCGCTCCTGGCACAAAAGACAAAACAAAACAAAAAATCCAAAATGTGTCTTATAATGAAATATCAGAGTGTAAACTAGTTTTCCAGACTCCAAGCATTAATGTTCAAAATATACATATGATCACACAAGACAATATAGCCATTATCCAAGACATCTAAAATGCTGTTATATGGCATGTCAATCAAAAATAATTGAAAGTCCTGTGGCATCTAAAATACTAATATATTCACTATGATGAGTGTAAGCTCTTGTCTAACAAAGCTCATGTCAGAAACCTGTTAATCTCTAAGGTGTCCCAGATGTAACAGCTGTCACAGGCAAAAGAGGTTCAATAAACAACCCTTATACTTTCACAGTGTGTCACTTAAAATAGAAATGAGACTTTAAATTCCCTGCTTCCTAGAGTTACTACCAACAGCTCTGAGATCAACATTCAATTATCTCAATTTCCAACAGAGATTTGGGTCAAGATTTAAGCACATTTTATTTATTCAACTGATGTATTTAACAACTGGGCTCATGCCTTTTTGCATATTAGCATCTCTTTCTAATTTCGTCAATGACTGATGTTTACATATATCTTAGGAAACACAAAAGATACACATTCTCAAAGGAGACAGAACAGTGCCAAAAAAGATAAATGAATTTTATCATACCGGTAAGTCCACACTGACATCCGTCCCATCCAGCAAAGAGACTCTGCAAGTAATGATGGACTTCTCATCTCCCGCTGCAGGGATGTGAGTTGCAGCTCGCTGGGCTTCCCTTAGTCGTTCTTTCTCGGCATGCTTGCGCATAGACCGGCGCCCAAGCGTTCGCCGAAAAAAGCTCAGCATTGTTACTAGAAGGGCAAAGGGAAAGAAACTGTAAACATTTCAAGAGGGGAAAAGGCAAATGAATTATTAAAAATCAATGCAGACAGACTTTAGCTGTGAGCCATTTTGGTTCTCACCTTGGGAGAAAAGGCATGCAAATTAATTGCATACATATAGAAACTTTATGGAATGCTCATGCAACTTCTTTGTGCTATAGAAAAATGCCTTCCAAGTAAATATTCATAATTGCATTTCACTACATATTCTGCCGTAAGTATTGCAGGCTACAGAAATACTGTCTCCATTAATTGTTTGGAAATGAGACAGTCCAACTGATAAGAGGAATGTATCGTCAAAGGCTTTCATGGCCAGAATCACTATTTCCGGGCTGTATGGTCACGTTCCAGAAGCATTCTCTCCTGATGTTTTGCCTGCACCTATGGCAGGCATCCTCAGAAGTTGTGAGGTCTCACAACCTCTGAGGATGCCTGCTATAGATGCAAGTGAAACGTCAGGAGAGAATGCTTCTGGAACATGGCCATAAAGCCTGAAAACACACATCAACCCAGTGACAAGTGGATTTTTCTTTAAAAAAAATACAACTTCATTATCCAGCAAGTGATGACCGCAGACCTTTTACAGGTGGTGGTAGTAAACATAAAGATGGAAATAGAGATTTATAGCAAGCATTCTATAGAATTGGACAAATTTGGTAGATAGATCATAGTATATGACATAACTTCATGACATGATACAAGACAAATTTAAGTGTTGCCTTCAGCAATAGTATAATTCTAGAAAGCTTCACAATACAGCTGTCATATTACACAAGGCAATGAGAGTCATCCTGCAGAATGAAAACATGTCTTATGGGTTGTATACTGTGTAGTTACTGAAGTGTTTCAAACAAGAATCTGGGTGTCAACATTTGATAATAAATATTTTAAGACCCACATCATACAAGACATAAACAGCCTAACGACTTCGAATTTAGCCTTAACAAGCCTGCATCTTGCATGACTGATAGAATAGATAAATCCAAATAACTGGAGTCTCTATCAGAGGTTTCGTCCTCAACTCTGAGCCAAAAAGGATAAACTGGCACATATGCCTCCCACCTTCTGTCTGTCTGGACTTGCCTGTCTGAAAGGTTGGAATTCTTAAAAGGTCACACTGGCACAACTGGAAGATTTAAATTTCAAGCTGCACCAGACATATTACTTATGGCATAAGCCTTTAGTGGTATCAATATAATCCAATAATATCTACCCCCATTCTGAATATTACTTTGTTAATTCAAGGCTAGTTGCTATTTATGCAATCCATGTAGCAAAAGTAACCCATAAGAAAACTGAGCTTGGAATAGACAGAGCATGGAATCAGACAAATATTTCAGTTAATTTCAATACTTTGGAAGATTCGGTGAAGTTTTAAGCAGAGTATTTTTCTAGATCTTTGTTTTTGAGTTGGTCATCTAAAGAAACTAGAAACTGAAGCTAGTGTTTATGTATGTACGTTTCTTATTCTACCATTGTGTTATGTTGTCCCATACAGGAAAACTTGGGTACTTTATCTTAACTCACTTTGCCCATTTTTCTACATCAGTGGTTCCCAACCTTTTTTTGACCAGGGACCACTCTCCAACATTAGTACCGAAAGAGTCAAGAATCGGTTTTTGGTCAACTTTAGATTCAGCTTGGTTATTTGGGGTGCTGATTCAGAAAATTGCATTGAATTGACCACATCAGCACTAGTTTCTGATACAGAACATATGCCATCCAGTAGTCACCATCTGCTCGCCCACAGAAAACCATATTTAATAAGCTAGAGCTGATGTGGTAGTAGTAGTATTTCGTGGGTAGTCAGCCTCTCCCCTCCCGACAACTCTGTCGCCTCGGCAATGTAAGAAGGTTTTGCGGCATCAATCACTCTAATTGTTGTGTGGTTTTGAGGCAACGGTGTAGTAATGGTGAGACCACGGACCATATTTTTGTTCTTGTTGACCACTGGTGGTCCACCGACCACAGGTTGGGAACCACTGTTCTACATTCATACATGACTGTAATATATCTGAGATCGACAGTACTGACTGGCAAGTGTAGAGATGCCTAGCTCTCTTTTATCACCACATGTTTGTTGAGTCCTTCCATGCCACATACTGCAAACACAGATACTACCTTCGCAAAGCTCAAAGGTGAAGGAAAAACATGGTGCTGGTGAGCTCTCTTTGGAGAGTGCTCGCCAGCGCCTTGTCTCTGCCTCTCAGCCTGGAGACATGGTGGTCTGCTGCATCCGCATGCTCAGAGGATGGTTGAGGCAGATGGGGACCTGAGGAAAGAAGCCAAGGGGCCATATCCTGCCCGTGGGCCTGGGTTTACCCATGCCTGCACCCAAACCATCATTTATGTTACCATACCTCTAAGTTAAGAAAACCCAAACTTTAAATGTTTTAGGTAAAGGTAAAGGTTTTTCCCTGACATTAAGTCCAGTTGTGTCCAACTCTGGGGGTTGGTGCTCATCTCCATTTCTAAGCTGAAGAGCCGGCGTTGTCTGTAGACACCTCCAAGGTCACATGGCCCTCATGATTGCATTGAGCACCATTACCTTCCCGCTGGAGCGGTACATATTGATCTACTCACATTTGCATGTTTTCAAACTGCTAGGTTGGCAGAAGCTGGGGCTGACAGCGGAAGCTCACGCCACTCCTCATATTCGAACCTGTGACCCTTCAGTCAGCAAGTTTAGCAGCTCAGCGGTTTAACCTACTGTGCCATTGGGGGCTCCCTTTAAATGTTTTAATGTGTGTTATTTTAAATTTTATTGTATATTTTAACTGTATGTGGTTTTTAAAGCACTGAATAGTTGCCTACATGTAAAACCTACTCAAGTCCCCTTTGGGGTTGAGAAGATCAGAGTACAAATATGGTAAATAACTAAATAATCTCTTGAAAAAAGCATGACAAGGTGGGGTTACATGCTGTGCACAGGATGTTAGCTTTTTGAAAAAGGAAGGGGAAGCCATTCTCATTGTAATTTAGTACTAATCATACCTAATGTTTACACAACTCCAGCCAGGATCAAGTTACAAAGCCTCAAAGCAGCTCTTACAGCCCTGTGTTTAGAAATTAATAATCAAGAAGATTTTAATAGCAATAATTAGTAGTATTAATGAATACTGCCCTCAGATGTTTGTAATATAAAGTAACTGTGCACAGGCGCTCTGAATATGCCAAATAGCATTTAATCCTCCAATTTCTGCTAGGTTGATGGTACACTCACCAGGAGAAGCACATTCTCAAACACAGGTGAGAACAAGGAAAGTGACTAAATGAAGGAAGAATATATGAATATATGTTACAGATGAATGAAAAGTTAGCCAGGAAGCAAATACAATATTTGTTGAAAACACCTTTTGCAGTTTCACTCCTACTTTAACCCATATCCAATCCTGTCACAATTAGGCAGCATACTCCCCTACTGTGTTGCGAATATGCAACCTGTTTAATGATCATTGGGGGAAGGGGGGGGGGATACCTGTGATAACATAAGGCATAGATGCAAAAATGTATACACCTCCTTGTAACTATGCTACTAAGCAAAGGGTCAAACCCTTGTGCCGGCAGGACTGAAGACTGACAGGTTGGAGGCTCGAATCCGAATAGAGCGCAGATGAGCTCCCTCCGTGAGCTTCAGCTCCAAATGCAGGGACATGAGAGAAGCCTCCCACAAAGATGGTAAAACATTGAGACATCCAGGCATCCCCTGGGTAACATCCTTGCAGTTGGCCAATTCTCTCACACCAGAAGTGACTTGCAGTTTCTCAAGTCGCTCCTAACACGAAAAAAAGCTATGCTACTGAAAGCCTAACTTAATCCATTTATATTAAGGATTTTATTTTGTTATTTATTTACTGTATTTATATACCACTTTTCTCACCCCTGGGGGGATTCTAAGTGGTTTACAACAAATAATGGCAAAATTCAATGCCTCACATACATAAATACCAAATCAGAAATCTAAGCAAAACATGTAACTATGCATAAATTCAATAGCACAATTAACCCTAAGATAAAACAACATTTAAACATAAAGACATAAAAAATTAAAACCACCTAAGAAAAACATTTAAATCACAAAAGAAATGTTATAATCCAGTCCATCATAAAGTTCCTCTTAAATTCCAGTTTGATATAATGCATTCAGAATGTCATCCCTGCTCAGCAATGTATTGCTTGCCTTGAACTGCTGTTGCAAACCTCACTTAAAACATTCTCATCAATCTGTGGCACTTCTTCTCTATGGGAATCTGCAGTCCTATTGCAGGTATACATATTGGGGTGGGTGGGGGAGCCAAAATTATTTTTACCAGAATGATAAGTCACTAAGGGTATTTGCAAAATAAAAATAAATTCAAAATTATAATTTGTTAAGGGTGTATAAAGGTAAAGGTTTCCCCTTGACATTAAGTCTAGTCGAGTCCGATTCTGGGAGTGGTGCTCATCTCCACTTCTAAGCTAAAGAACCGGCACTGTCCGTAGACACCTCCACGGTCATGTGGCCAGCATGACTACATGGATTGCCGTTACCGATCACTAAGCGGTATCTATTGATTACTCAAATTTGCATGTTTTCGAACTGCTAGGTTGGCAAAAGCTGGGGCTAACAGCAGCTCACCCTTTCAGTCAGCAAGTACAACAGCTCAGCTGTTTAACCCGCTGTGCCACCAGGGGTTCCCTAAGGATGTATATGTTTTCAGAATTATAAACTGTTAAAAGTTATATACATTTTATGGGTTAAGTTGCAAATAAAAAAAATCTGCTGTTTTAGATATATATATATATATATATATATATATGAATTGTCCTTGGTAGCAAACGGGAGCCATTGGAGCTGGTGCAACAGTGGAGTTGTATGCTCCCTGCCCTATATATATATAGGGCAGAAAAGTGTGTCTCAGAATCGAGTAAATACAGTAACAACAAGAACCAATTACAAACTCTTAAAAGAATGTATACATGGGGGGGATACAAAAGAAATTGCAGCCATATACCATGTTAATGGTGTACATCTGACAGGGGAAAGGAAAAACAATATTCCATATTATAAACAGTACACTGGGGAAGCTTTCTTAAAACAACATTCCAGATTTATAAACTCTTAAGAGTACATACAGTGTGGGAGTTGCAAAAGAAATCCCAGCTTTACGCATTGGTAAAGTTAAATACTTGGGAGGATTGAAAACAGGATCCTGCACTGTTAAGGATGTGATATCCTTGTGTTTGAGGGGAGGCTTCAAAAACAAAGCAAGGATTAAGGGTGCAATATCCTTGTCTGGGTATACATTTGTATACCATACATCCATGGGGGGCGCACATGCTGTATACAAAGGTAGAAAGTGATATCTGGAGTTTGGAAGGAGCCTGGAGGAAACAACTTGAATTCCCCCAAATTATTACCTGTTAATGGCAAATTCAAAACAATATTCTCGATTTATAAACAACTAAAAAAAGTATGATATCCTCATCTGTTTCTACATATTTAGAGGGAAATTCAAAATCAACAATCCACAATTAGAAAGTTTTAAAAGAGCAATATCCTTGGGTGGCTGTGAGTTTTCCAGGATGTATGGCCATGTTCCAGAAGCATTCTCTCCTGACGTTTTGACCACATCTATGGCAGGCATCCTCTGAGGCTGTGAGATATATTGGAAATTAGGCAAGGGGGGTTTATATATCTGTGGAATGTCCGGGGTGGGAGAAAGAACTCTTGTCTATTAGAAACAAGTGTGAATGTTTCAATTAATCACCTTGATTAGCATTAAAAAGCCTTACAGTCTCAAGGTCTGGCTGCTTCCTGCCTGGGGAATCCTTTGTTGGGAGGTGATTAGCTGGCCCTGATTTTTTTCATGTCTGTTTTTAGAGTGTTGTTGTTTATATCCTTGTTTGGGTGTCTACATTTTGGGGAGGGAGTTTTAAAAAGCAATAATGCAGAAAGGTCAGGAGATAATGCTTCTGGAGCATGGCCCTACAGCGCAGAAAACTCACAACAACCTAATAAAGCAGAACTCCAGACAAGAATCAATCAGGGCCAGTCAAGACCTCCCAACAAAGGATTCCCCCAGGCTGTAAAGCAGACCTTGAAGCTGCAAGGCTGTTCAATACTAAACACGGTGGCCAATTGCAACATTCACACTTGTCTCACGCAAACATGAATTCTTTCTCCCACCCTGGACATTCCAGATATATAAACCCCACTTCCCTAGTTTCCAGCAGACCTCACAACCTCTGAGGAAGCCTACCATAGATGTGGGTGAAACATCAAGAGAGAATGCTTCTGGAACGTGGCTATATAGCCTGGAAAACTCATAACAACCCTATCATGCAGAATTCCAGACAAGAATCAATCAGGGCCAGTTAACACCCCCCTCCCCCCCAAGAAAGGATCCCCAGGCAGCAACCAGAGAGGCTTTGAAGCTGATAATCAAGGTGGCCAAGTGCAACATTCACACCTGCCTCAAGCAGACTAGAGTTCTTTTTCCCACACTGGACACTCAGATATATAAACCCCACTTGCCTAGTTTCCAACAGACCTCACAACCTCTGAGGATGCCTGCCATAGATGTGGGCGAAACGTCAGGAGAGAATGCTTCTGGAACATGGCCATACAGCCCGAAAAACTCACAGCAACCCTGAATCAGAAACCTTTAAAGGAGCTTTGTTTGGGTCTATATTTGATGGGGCAAATTGAAAAAAAACAACCATCCAGAATTGAAAAGTTTAAAAGGAGACCCTTTGTTTGGGTCCAAATAATAAAGAAGAACCTAATTGTTTCCTCGACTATTGCAAATGGGTTTGTTTGGAGGGAGGAAGAAACCTTGGGAGGGCGCCCCCTGGAGGGATCCTGGGGGAGGGGGAGGTAGCAACAATATTCCAGATTGATCAACGGGAAGGATGGGACGGTGTCTCTCTGTGTGTGTCTCTATATTTTAGTTTGGAGAAACTAGAAACAAAACCAAAGCCGCACTCCATTGGGAGCAGGCGTCCTCCTTGCCTGTGCCTACCTTTTGAGAGGGAAGTTCAGGGTTGCAAGCGCGTCCCCCCCCCCCCTTTTCCCGCCTCTCCTCCCCTTGAAACCCCCCAAAAAGGGAAGAAGCCGACACTCCTTACCCTGCTTCTTCTCCGCCGCCGCCGCCGCTCCTTGGCGAATGAGTCCCGTTTGGCGACGAGGGGCGGAGGCAAATGGCCGCGGAGGAGGAGGAGGAGAAGCAGGAGGAGGAGCTCTTCCTTCTCCTCCTCCTCCTCCTCTTCTTCTTCCTTCAGAGAATGAGGAAAACTCGGCCGGCGGGCAGGCGGCGCTGGAGCCAGGAAAGCACACAAAGGCTGCTGCCTCCCTTTCTGTTCCTGGGAGGGGAAGAAACCGCAAGCCCTTTCCCGCCCAAGAGGAGTAGGCAGGGGAGGAGAGCCGGAGGGCCCGCCCGCCGGATTGCCCTTCCGAGGCGCAACTCGTGGCCGCTTGGAGCAGATGCTCCTCCTCCTCCTCCTCCTCCTCCTCCCCGCCCGGAGCCTTAATCCCGCCAGCCAGGCGTGGGATTTCCTCCCCGCTAAGAGGATTGCCGCCTTAAAGAGACCCGCCGGGCAACGCTGCCACGGGAACGCCCCTTGCCCCAAGGGCCTGGGACCCGCTTTGGAGAATAGGAGGGGACCTGGGCCCGGAAGCCGCGTCGCTCCTTCGGGAGCGCTCATTGCGCAAGAGAGACTTCGCTCATGCAAGCCAGACCGGAGACAGATAGTATAGGAGGAGTGTAAGAGTGCTTTAATGGTGAAACCCTAACCCTAGCCCTAACCCTTAGCACCCCTCCTTTCTATCCTTCCTTCACTCTCCTCGCTCTCACTCCGCCCCCTCGCTTCCCTTATTCACAGCCGCTTTTGCGGCATCTCCGTAATGCTCGGAGCTTCCAGATCCAGCTATCATACATTCACCCCCTAACCCTGAACCATACCATAAGCCTAAGCCTAACCCCTTACCCAAACCGCTCGGAGCTTCCGGACCCAGCTATCATACATTCACCCCCTAACTCTTACCCTAACCCTGAACCATACTGTAAGCCTAACCCTAACCCCTTACCCACACTGCTCGGAGCTTCCGAACCCAGCTATCATACATTCAGCCCCTAACCCTGAACGGTACCGTAAGCCTAAACCTAACCCCTTACCCAAACTCAAACCGCTTGGAGCTTCCGGACCCACCTATCATACTACTACCCCCTAACCCTGAACTGTACCCTAACCCCTTACCCAAACCCAAACCACTCGGAGCTTCTGGACCCAGCTATCATACTATCACCCCCTAACCCTTACCCTAACCATAAGCCTAAACCTAACCCCTTACCCTAACCCAAACACTAAACCGTAACCTAACCCTAAACCATCCCCTCCTTTCTATCCTTCCTTCTTTCTCCCCACTATCACTCCCCCCCCTTCCCTTATTCACAGCCGCCTTTGTGGCATCTCCGTAACGCTCAGAGCTTAGTGCCGTTCATTTTCCAGTCCCAATTCAAGGTGCAGGTTATCACCTACAAAGCCCTCAATGGTTTGGGACCCGCCTACCTCCATGACTGCATTTCTTTCTACAAACCTGCAGGCCCTCCTCTCGCTCCCACCTCCATCACAAGCACGGGACGAGGGTGAGAGCCTTCTCCGTGGTGGCCCCTCGGCTTTGGAAGTCGCTACCCAGTGGGATTAGGCAAGCTCCTACCCTGGCAGCCTTTAAGAAAGACCTAAAAACCTGGCTCTTCTGGTGTGCCTTTGACGAATGAACACAAATCCCCACACCATGTCCGTCCCAGTATAGATCTGTCCTGTGGATGCACTTTCTTGCGTCCCTTAGTGAAGATTAACCCCATTGTTTGCCCCTTCTGAGTCTCCACTCAGACACATTACTCCATTTATTCATTTCACCCCGGTTTTTATAAATTTTATCCTTTGCATTTCGCCTGTCCACTGTGTTTTAATTCCTCTACCATTTTATTTTGTTTGCTTTATTGTATATTTTGTTATTGTTTGCATTTTACATTGATGTTTATTATTTTCTTGTTTGTATTTTACTTTGCTTTATTGTAATTCTTGGACTTGACCTCATGTTAGCTGCCTCAAGTCCCCTTGGGGAGATGGTGGCGGGGTGTAAATAAACTTTATTAATATTATATCATTATTTATTTATTTACAGTATTTATATTCCGCCCTTCTCACCCCTCAGGGGACTCAGGGCAGATTACCGTGCACATATACATGGCAAACATTCAATGCCAATTAGACATACAACATATATAGACAGACACAGAGGCAATTTAACATTCCAGCTCTCAGGTTTCATGGGGGTATGCTTGATTTTGGCCACAGGTTAGCTGCTGCTTCACCATTTGTGACACCGAGTCCTTTGATGGAGTACTTCCTCATTCTGCACGCTGCTGGAAGGTTTTTTTTATGGCATCGTAATTAGTTAAATTAGCCTCCCTGCATAAAGCAGTACCTAAATTCCTACTTGACAGATGCAACTGTCTTTCGGGCTGCAAAGGTCAACAGCAAGCTAGACTAATGGCCGGAAGCTCACTCCGACCAGGCTGGCTTTGAACTCATGACCTCTTGGTCAGTAGTGATTTAATGCAGCTGGCTCTCACACAGCCCGGTTCTATAGTAGATGTGGCTATTAATGAGACATGTTGCATTATCACAGGCTGCCTCTGCCCTACACCACTGGAGAAATTACACTGTCTAGCTGGTATTGCACCACCTGACATCCACCAGGAAGTAGCAGCTCAACATTTGCTTGTGTATGTGATTTGACATGGCCACATTTTTTTTGGCTTTTATATGTTTTATATATAAGGACCAAGGCAGTGACATCTCTGGCCCACTCTCTGTTCAGATATCAGCCAGCATGCCCTTAAATCAATAAATAGTTTTCTAAGATTTTATTTATTTATTTATTTATTATTTAAACTTATATGCCGCCACTCCCCTGGGGCTCGGAGCGGCTTACAAGAATAGCTAAAATCTAACAAAGTTTAAAAGCAATTTAAAACAATTTAAAAACAACAGTATCAAACATTTAAAAGCCTGTCGGAACAGGTATGTCTTACATGCCCTGCGGAAAGCTGCTAAGTCCCGCAGGGCACGAACTTCAGGTGGCAGAGCATTCCAGACTGATGGCGCCACTGCTGTGAAGGCTCTGCGTCTGGTTGCCGTTAGACGCAAGGTCTTGACACTGGGGACTTCCAATAGATCTTGGTCCTCAGAGCGGAGGGATCTCTGGGATCTACATAGATACTCGCAGGAACACCTCAGGAAGCGAGAGTCCAAAAGTGGCAGGCTAAAACCCAGAACCTCAATCCATGGCTGATACCAAATGAGAGACTCCCTCCTCCTGGGCACACAGAAGACTGGGCGACTTGGAAGGCGCTGTACAGACTGTAATCTGGCACCATGAGATGCAGCGCCAACCTTAAGAAATGAGGCTTCAAAGTGGAGTCCATGACATGTGAGTGTGGAGAAGAGCAAACCACAGACCACCTACTACAATGCAACCTGAGCCCTGCCACATGCACAATGGAGGACCTTATAGCAACACCAGAGGCACTCCAAGTGGGCAGCTACTTGTCAAAGGACATTTAATATAATGCCAAGTTTTTAATCTTTGTTTTCTCAAACACATTGGTTCACTTCTGATATGATAAATAAATAAGGCTGTTGGGAATTGTGTGAGTTGAGGTCCAAAACACCTGGAGAGAGGGCCCAATTTTGCCCATACTTCTTATATCATGAGATCGCTTGGTGCTGGGGCCCAAGCCTAAACACACATCTGTATCTCCACTGCAGAATGAATGCAGTCGGGCACCACTTGAACTGCCATGGCTCAATGTTCTGGAATCCCAGGAAGTGTAGTTTGAGGAGGCACCAGCCCCCTTTGGCAGAGGAGGCCAAAGCCCTTGCAAAACTACTACTCCCAAGAGTCCATAGCACTCAGCCATGGCACTTCAAGTAGGGTCAGACTTCATTGATTCTACACCAGGCATGGGCAAACTTCAGCCCTGTTTGGAACTGTGGGAGTTGAAGTCCAAAACACCTGAAGGGCCGAAGTTTGTCCATGTCTTATGCACATTAATATTATCATTTTATTTATTTTCATATCAAAAGCATTGCCTCAAATAGTATAAAACTGATAGAACTAGAAGGAGCACAACCGGCTAAATATCTTTTGACCAAAAATGGACAACAGTGACCACATTGTAGCCTCAAACAATTCTTCTATGCATAAGGCAAGGCATTGCTGCCAAACATACAGGTGCTGAGTTGTCTGTTCTGCTCCACAGTCACACAAGATGGATTCTTTTAGGTTGCATCATTTTGCCAGGTTGTCTTTTGATCTGCCCACTCAATAATGAAGATGATGATGCCATCAAAGCTAGAATTGAAAAGTCTACGACAAATGCCAAGTGTAGACTGCAAGGAAGCAGATGAAACAATAGATCATATCCTCAGCTGCTGCAAGAAGATCACACAGACAGACGACAAGCAGAGGCATAACACCATTGCTCAGATGATTCATTGGAACTTGTGCCACAAATACCATGTGCCTGCAACAAAGAACTGGTGAGATCACAAGCCTGAAAAAGTTACAGAAAATGAACACGTCAAACTACTCTGGGACTTCCGAATTCAGAGAGAATTTTGGAGCACAATACTCCTGAGCCTGGGCAATGCATGGTTCTAAATGGTTCTAAATTACTTACAAAACTAAAGTTCTGATGGTGAAAACTTCAAAGCTCTAACAAAACTCAAAATTTCATTATAAATGGCAGTTCCTAATTAGTTTTTTCATACAAATCGCCAATAATGAAATAATAACAAATTGAAACTGAATCCAGGCAAGACAGAGGTACTCCTGGTCAGTCGTAAGGCCGAACAGGGTATAGGGTTACAGCCGGTGTTGGACGGGGTTACACTCCCCCTGAAGACGCAGGTTCGCAGCTTGGGTGTGACCCTGGACTCATCGCTGAGCCTGGAACCCCAGGTTTCGGCGGTGACCAGGGGAGCATTTGCACAGTAAAACTTGTGCGCCAGCTGCGCCCGTACCTTGGGAAGTCTGACTTGGCCACGGTAGTCCACGCTCTGGTTACATCCCGTATAGACTGCTGCAACGCTCTCTACGTGGGGTTGCCTTTGAAGACTGCTCGGAAGCTTCAAATGGTCCAACGTTCGGCAGCCAGGTTGCTAACAGGAGCGGCACTCAGGGAGCATACAACTCCTCTGTTGCGCCAGCTCCACTGGCTGCCAATTTGCTACCGGGCACAATTCAAAGTGCTGGCTTTAGCCTTTAAAGCCCTAAACGGTTCTGGCCCGACCTATCTGTCCGAACGCATCACCCCCTATGAACCAGTTAGGACATTAAGATCGTCCGGGGAGGCCCTGCTCTCGATCCCGCCAGCCTCACAAGCAC